GGGAAAGAGGAAAGAAGAAGAGGAAAACATGTAAAAAAACTGAATACCCTAAAACACGCAACACTTCCAAGTGGTGTCATTTTGATTATGAGTTTATCTTTTTGTTGTGGTTGATTTTTTTTGTCTGTAAGTGTATTTTGCATATTTTCTGTATGTATAACACCTAATCTTGAAATAAAAAATAAAATAAAAAAAATCCAAAAATGACTAATTACTGTAAATATTCAATTACTACTATTATATTGTACATTATATACAGGTGTAAGGTCCACGCACTTGGCCCAAGGAATTCTTCAGTAAAACTCTTGTTCAATTGATGTGTCTTCAAAACAGAATTACAAGATGTAAGGCCCACACACTTGGCCCAAGGAAGGTATCCAGTAGTGGATGAAGGTTTCTTGCGTGTTCGGTCTTTTCAGCGCGCAGAGTTATTCAATTTAGATTTAACTCAAATCTGACTCCATTTTATTATCTAATCTGACTCCATTTTAGTATGACCTCGAATTTAGGTTGAAAGGCAAATTGGTTGTTTGTCGGTCTCTAATTATTCTGACATTCGATTATTCTAGTTAACTCTTTTCCTAATGAACGAGTAAATATAAGTATCGATGTCGCTTAGGGTGCCTCACGGCGGCCGCTATGCGTGGGACCCACGATCACAAAACTCGCCCAGTCTGATCCTTAGCCAGAGGTTCGTGGCTAATACTATTTAATATGCTTTAAATAGTAGGTCTGTTTAGCCACCTACAGTTACCCATGTAATGCTCAAACATTAATAAGTGGTTCTGCTAGACCCTTTGTCTAGCCCCCGATAGTTAGTATAACCACATACAACTTAATTAACACTCCAAATATTCATCAGCGGTTCTGCTAGCGAATCTAAGAGTAAGATACATACCTGACTTTTAGTAAAATACATATTATGAAGTGTGTGGACACACTTCATAATACGGGCTGTCTGGCTACAGAATCGCCCCGATCCTTTTGCTGCAATCCTTTAAAAAAAAAAAACAAGATAAAACATCCCCCAAATGGAGGCATGTACAAACAATTGGAATTTGCATTAACCCAGGTCCCAG